TGAAGGAGAACATACCCAAAAGATGTTTTGCAGAGAAGTGATCTCCCAAAAGAGAGGGAATAATCTCAGAAGATTATATACTGTACAATTCAATTTTGAAAAAGGAAAGCTATTGAGATGGAAAACAGATTGACAGTGTACAGGGGTTCGGGTTAGAAGAAGATGTTGTCTACAAAGGAGCAGTGGGGCATTTATTGGTGAGATTGAGCTATGCCGTATTTTCATCTTGGTAGTAGTGCACAATCATATCCATTTATCAAAAAGTACAGAGCTGTATTCTGGAAAGTTGATAGTTTTGTATTTAAACTATAATTAATCTTAAAAATTAAAAAAAGAATATTCTTGAGTTCATGATCCCTTTAAGATACATACATAATTCTACTCATTGCTAATAGGTAGTTAACTTTTAAAAATCCACATTTTGCTGTTATTCTTTATACATTCACACAAAACACAGTTATCTACTAATTTTATATTGTGCTTTTTGAAGGAATATATTTATAGAAGCATTTAAATCCATGAACTTGTATGTCTGTATATCAACTAATTATATTTCTTTTTGTCTCTATATAAAAATGGATCTATAAAAATATTTATGTATATACATAAAATGAAAATGTGTTTATAATAAATGAATTGTGTTTATTTTTGTGGTTTTAAATTTTAATATAGTATTTACTTTTTAACATTCTTTTAATTGCTTATTAATGACAGGCATGTACTATTTTTTTCTGCAGAGGTTTTGTTTTTTCAAAACATGAAAACAGATATAAAAAATGAGAGAGATGTTCATTTAACAAGTGGTATAGTTTAGATATCAGAATTGTTTTAATGTGATTCCTGTAATCACTCTCTTTTATGGCACTGTAATTACCTGAAAGACCAGTTCTCAGTGGTCTTCTCAGTTACAAACAGGCAGATGACGATGCCCTGTGAGACCAGTCTTCTCTATGTAGTTTCAGTTTGCAGTAGACCACTGTGAAAATATCCAAGCTGTCATGTTTTCAAATATGTAAGTCTGGTTGTTTAAGTAATTTGGCAAATAGCATCTTTCTTCCATCTTTAGGGCCTTTAGGGGCCAAATGTCTAATCTTCGTAAATATTGACGAACCAGAGCAGATCACATCCCCAAAGATTTGCACCCCGGGCTGACAGCTCTTATTTGCCCGTTTGTTGCGGTTAAGATCCTCAGAATCATGCTCTAAACACATGTGAAAATTATAAATCAAACCCAAGAAGTAAAAATGCAAATAGTAAAAAGTATTTGTTTTTATTTTCCAATATGCTTCATTAAAAAAGGTAGTTTTATTAGTAGTACATTAATGAACTTAAAGAATGAAGTGAAAATTTTGTGTCACAGATATTAATTTACATTTTACAAACATACACCAAAACAATTAAAAATGAAATAAATATATTTACATTTTATATTTCTGGTATTTTCATTGCATTTTTAATATATATAAAATATATAACATTTATCATATTTTATTTATCTTCAAAAGCAACTTCAAATGCGCAAATAAGTGAATTATGATTTTAAAGTATTAAGGAATAAGAATAAATCATAAATAAGAGTTTTAGAGGTATGAATAAAGCAATTCCTTAAGAAGAGCTCATGAGTACAGCACTATTAAGTGTAGCAAAATGTTTGTTACTAATATTGGAACATACACACTTACCTTAAAAGTTAAGCACAAAGATCATCCTTGTACTTTTAAAGCTTCTCCACTTGCTGATTTCTAGCAGTAATTCTAAATAATTGTTAGGATTATTACTTTTCCATAATAATAAATCAAGCTTCTCTCAAACCCAGCATTCAATGTAAACAAAGTTTATATAACAAGCTTTGTCATTGTAAATGAGGGAAATGTTGATCTATAAACCAATGCACCTAAAGGAAAATTTCTCTTACACAATTAATATGAACTTGATATTTATTTCCAAGTAATTACTTTTCTTCCAGCTTAACGACAGTTTTGTGAGCAAAGACTTTAAAACTCTAAATTGGTACCTGCCTGAAAAATGAGCAAGGATGATGAGTTGATTATTTTCCCTTTAAAAGAGTGTTGGATGGTAAATGGAGGGGTACACATTACACTTACATTATCTTAAAGTATTTTTGAAATAAATATTTGTTGCAGTATAACAAATTAAAAATGCCCCTGCTTTAATATACTTCAGCTTAAATGAATTGTTATTCTTTATCAGGAAAAATACATTATTATAGTAGTTAGCAAATATTTCAAATGATATTTGAACTTCCTTCTCTGACCTAAGTACCTATAATATAATATTCCCTTTGATCTTGCACTATGTACACTATAATGAACCCTTTAATGTGTGTGTATATATATACATATATATACGTATATACATTTATATATGTGTATATATATATATATATACACACACAGGTGTATGTGTATATGTGTGTGTGTGTGTATATATATATATATGTATATATGTATAATGTGTACACACACACACATACACACATATCCCAAGGCACTGGAGGGGTTAACACATAATTAAGCATTCTGCTATTAAAATGTGCTCTAGTACAAACTAGGATTTCATGAATAAATCTCATGCAGCTAAACATAAATTACATGAGAAATAGAGATTTATCTGAATGTTTTGTTCATATTTAATCTTTCTCATTCAAATACTCCAAGTTATAACAAATGACAGTGGCTAATCATTCCACTGCAAAGGAAAGTGTTAAATACTATTTGGTAACTGATGAGCATCAGAGTGATATTTTTCTAATAGATAGGTGCTCTGCTAATGTTAAGTAGTAATTTAGGCCTGTTAGTTTTTTATCAATGGTATCAAAAATAAACACCATAATATATTACCGTAAATTTTAATTCAAGCTACAATTTACAGTGTAAAGTGTATTAAATATATGTATTTTAAATATATTATTCTAATATAATTTGTGAGTAGCATTTTATTATATACATATACACACGTATATGTATGTGTGTGTATGTGTTGTACAAGGAGATATATATACCCATACGTATCTCATTGTGCACCTTTTCCTTCATCATACCCAGCTAGAAGATTTTTATAATATAACAAAAAGGATATTTAATTACTCTTTTTTGTGTATTTAAAATGGAGCTTTTACAAAATCTGACATTAGTTATTAAAAATGATTATGTAACACATATATAAGATTTTAAAACTATTTTTTCCATTTGGCTAACTAGCCCATTTCGTATTAACTGTAGACTAGATTATCACACTGCGGACACATAAATGTTGCCCCAATGTGGGGCACCATAATACGGCTGTAGTTCATAGTAGAGATTCCATAATGAAGTAGCTACTACTCCTTCTGATCCTAAGGTACCTGCCTCCCTTTGCTTTTCCCCTGTAGACTCAACAGAGGCTTACTAAAGCCTGCTTTTGGTGGACTTCTGACTTTAGAATGACTGTTCTATTTGGTGAATATATGGTAAACAATAATTCCACAGTATCATCCCAGTTAAGAATATATATTAATTTTATGATCAAGATAAAATATATTAAAAGTATGTCGTGTCCAATTAGCCATAGTTTCTTGAATAAGGTGACCTAGACCCAACTTAACTCTTGCCAGGTACAATTATGAACCTTCGCTTTTTTTTTTTTTTTCAATTTAACATGCTTAAAAATTAACCAGACACAACATGAATTCATAATTTATGGTGATTATGGAAATAGTTTGACAAATTTTCAAGTATGTTGATCATGTGTCCTTTTGGCAAATAATTTTGTTTCCTTCTCAAGTAACTTTTTTTTTCCTACTTAAAAAAGAAAATCAAGCCACTTTATTAGATATTTCATTATCTTCACAAGGAATTGTCCAATCTTTGATTTAAGTTGGAAACGTGGGCAGTCCCGGTGGCCCAGTGGTTTAGCGCCCTCTTCAGCCCAGGGTGTGATCCTGGATACATGGGATCGAGTACCACGTCAGGCTTCCAGTATGGAGCCTGCTTCTCTCTCTGCCAATCTCTCCCTCTCTTTGTGTGTGTCTCTCATGAATAAATAAATAAAATCTTAAAAAAAAATAAGTTGGAAACCTGTGTTAATAACAACAATAAAGTAATTTTTTTTTTTTAGTAGGTAGCTGATTGTTTAAAAGTAGATCTCAGTACAGCTGTAGTAAAGGACTGAGAATGTTTTCCACACTAAACAAATGGTTACATAATACCTGGTATCTGAGTCATGTATACATACCTCTGATGCTTTCAAATTCCCAGGCTCTTTTTATTTACTAAGACAAGATAACTAAAATGACCCACATAGGTTGCCATTATAGAATCACTTTTTATGATATGATAAGTTAGAAATTTAAAATTTTATTTTCATATCTCACCTTATTTTCTCATAAAATATTACTAAAATGGGAAAATGTCATTTACCTGAAATAAGTAAAACTTTGAGACTACCCTCTAAGATCATTTCAGTCCATGATTAACTAGTAGAGTTAGGATTACAAAGAATTGTTTCTCACATCACATTTTTTATATTATTTTCACTACAAAAGCTTTTGGGGTCACTGAAAATTTATGAAACTTTAATTTGATAATAAATTCCATTAAGTAAGTAGAAATCTCCTTAAATGAAGGAAAGAATAAGAGGTTCATGAATGTTATCTTTGTGGTTAAATTAACACATTTCAGCATATTTGGTTGACAGTAGCAGCGATAAAACATTGGTATCAATGATTAAGGAAAAGTAGTACATTTTACATTGTGACTATCATAGAATTGATATATTTATTCTTTTGAAAATGTTAGGAATAGCTGACAATAAGATAAACAAAATTGGAGTGCCAGTGTCATATCACAGAATGAGAATACAAGGAGAAAATCTGCATCAGCAAATTAAAGTGCTTTCTTCATTGATGAACTTTCTGCATGCTTTTTTCCTTGCTGCCATGTTTTGTTGTATTTTTTTTTTTGCCTTCTTTATATCACTCATAATTCAATGATAGGGCATTAGTTCATGATCTGGCCCAACATGTATTTGTCATACAAAATAATCTAAAATACAGAAATAACCATTTAAGTGGTATTTTTATTTATAGGTAGCTTACAATTTTTATATTATTTACATACTTTGAATCATTCATTCTTTTGTCTTCACTTTCAATGAAATACTGGTACAAATGGGCTGAATGAGAACAAGCTGTTATGTTCATTTAAAATTATTCACAACTGTCTTCCCAAAGAGAAGGGCTTTTGAGATTCCTTATGACCTTGTTTTCTGCTGAAATTTCAAACTGAATTCACTGTTGACTTGGTGATACCATTGTTTTTCCAGGGTCTAAACTGAAGACTATGTTTATTCTGTTTCTATAGTCATGGTAAGTGGCAATGCAAGCTCAGAATGTCAGGTTGTATACTTTGCTCTGCTTGTAGTACCAGAGCTGGCAGCAGTGGAAGCAGCAGTCTGATTGCCTAAATAAAGAGGGTCCAAACAAGCTACTTTGGCAGCAAAGAATGAATGAATGCAGTGAAGAACAGCAAACAGATTTGAGAACTCCAGCTCCTGAAAGAGAAAAAGAAATGCTTCAGATAAAATAAAAGTCAAATTCTCTTTAAAAACTGGTAATAACTAGACAATTAATAATGAGTTATTTTTTCAAGCTCAATGAACATAATTTAAATCAGTTAATTATATCAAATTACAGAAACTGTAGGCATTTTGTTCAATATGTAAATTTCATATGTATTGCAGATGTACTCAAAACATGGTAGTCTAAGAGCTAGAAATACTAAGCATTCGTATTATCATTTCTGTATTGATAAATGCTGGATAGAAATATATTTGGCCAGAATAAAATTTTATTATTGATAAAGTACAAAAAATGGGAGTAGCTTAAGCCTATTTTTAATCTCTTCATACGCATTTCAAATGATAAATTTGGATTGAAATAATTTTAAAAATATTCTTCATTATTATCTAGAATAAGTTACAATTTATCATAAGACACTGAATATGAAATGCTGAAAGCAGGGAGTTATGAATGTTTATGGCACTAGGAGCCAAATGGTTCAGTTCTAAAGTATAATGCATACATTAATTTTAAATGTAATTAATTTTAATTGTTGTATTTGTTTAAATTTTTTGTACTTGGTGGTTAAAAAAATCAACCAAGGCCCACTAATTGTTTGGATTTGTTATTATTATTATTTAAATTCAATTTGCCAATATATAGTACATCATTAGTTTCAGATATAATTTTGAATAATTCATCATTTGTGTATAACTCCAAAAGCTCATCCTGTCATGTGCCCTCCTTAATGGCTGTCACCAAGTTACCCTACCCCCTTTCAGCAACCATCATTTGTTTCCCAGAGTTGACTCTCTCATTATGCTGAGTCAAATAAGTCAATTGGAGAAAGACAATTATATGGTTTAATTCGTATGTGAAATATAAGAAAAAGTGCAAGGGACCATAAGAGAAGGAGAGGAAACTGAATGGATTTTTTTGAAATAGGTTTTCCATTTGGATCCTTAAGGAAATTTGTAGCCCACATTGAAAAAAAAAATAGGAAAGATTTTTGTTTTTTTCAAACCACAAATGATGTCAGACTAGCTGTAATATCCTGAGGTGATGCTCAGGATAGACTTTAAAAGATGACCTCTTCCTTGGTGATGAGGTATGGAAAACCATCAATAGTCCCATAAAATGTTTTAATTCCAAGAGGATTGAGAGAAGACACATACATGTGCTTAATGAACTCTATATGATAAACATATCAGAAAGAGGATAGCCAGAGGGTAATAAACCATGTGAAATTGCTGACAAAGTTGTTGCTATATCATTCATATTTATAATAAACCATATAGAATGACACTTGATGTGTACATTAGTAATAGTGTTTGCAATCTCATATGTCACAATGGAAAACAATATAAAATATCCATTCAACTGGGACATATTGCAGTATGTGCAATGCACCAGGAAACTAAGTAAAATAATTCACCTTCAGAATATTTTCTCAGAACATGCAATAAAAGTACAATAGAGCACAGCATAAATTCACTCACAGTTCTGTACAATATAGATAAAATACTTATGCTGTCTCAGTAATCCCCTTCAGAACATCAGTATTTTATAGTTTCCTATAGCAAATATTGACTTATTCTAGAGAGCAGTAAAGATTTAACTATTCTGATTGCCTAAAATATTTCAGTCTAAACATGATTTTAGTTATTCCATCATAATGTTTTCAGGAGCTTCACTTTTGACAACCCACGTCAGTGGCAGTATATGTTACTTGTCAACTAGCAGTATTTCTCTTACCCAAGCCCTGAAGGCCCCTATTCTCCCTTCATTCTTTGTTCTGCCAGTTGATGTCACCTGCAGATTTCAAATTACTTTTGATATCAGCCCATAAATCCACTTGATATGAAAAGGGTGGTAAGGTTTTGGAAAATATGGGATGTGTCTATGTACTATTAAAAAAGAAAACTACAAAAAAACTAGCAATTCATTCTTGGCAAAGGGGAAAATATTTGGAATATTGCAAGGAGGCAAAAGTATAAAAAGTTTTCTCAAAAATAATTCTGCTGGAGGGAGGGGCAACATGGCGGAAGAGTAGGGTCCCCAAGTCACCTGTCCCCACCAAATTACCTAAATCACCTTCAAATCATCCTGAAAACCTACGAATTCGGCCGGAGATTTAAAGAGAGACCAGCTGGAATGCTACAGTGAGAAGAGTTCGCGCTTCTATCAAGGTAGGAAGACGGGGAAAAAGAAATAAAGGAACAAAAGGCCTCCGAGGGGGAGGGGCCCCGCGAGGAGCCGGGCTGAGGCCGGGGCGAGTGTCCCCAGGACAGGAGAGCCCCGTCCCGGAGAAGCAGGAGCTGCACCAACCTTCCCGGGCAGCAAGGGGCTCGCAGGGAGTTGGAGCAGGACCCAGGAGGGCGGGGATGCCCTCGAGCTCCCTGGGACACTAACAGACACCTGCGCCCCGGGAGAGTGCGCCGAGCTCCCTAAGGGCTGCAGCGCGCACGGCGGGGCGGAGCAGCTCGGAGGGGCTCGGGCGGCGGCTCCGCGGAGGGGGCTGCGGGGCGGGAGCGCGAATCCAACAGCGCAGGCCCCGGAGCACAGGGCGCCGGGACACAGCCCAGGATCCGGCCTCCCCCGGGACAGGCAGAGGCCGGGAGGGCCCAGGACAGCGAGGACGCTCCTGCCCCGAGGTGAGCAGATCAGCGGCCCCGCCCCGGAGCCTCCAGGCCCTGCAGACGGAGAGCCCCGTGGTGACTGCAGGAGCTGACTCCAGGGCTGCAGAGCTGGCCCCGCCACTGCGGTTGTTCCTCCTGGGGCCTCACGGGGTCAACAACCCCCAATGAGCCCTGCAGCAGGCAGGGGCAGAGCAGCTCCCCCAAGTACTAACACCTGAAAATCAGCACAGCAGGCCCCTCCCCCAGAAGACCAGCTGGACGGACCAGTTCCAGGGGAAGTCAAGGGACTTAAAGTCTACAGAATCAGAAGATACTCCCCCGTGGTTTTTTCTTTTTTTTCTTTTTGATTTCTGCTTGCTTCCCCCACCCTTTTTTCCCCTTTCTTTCATTTTCTCTCTTTTTCTTCTCTCTTATTTCTTTTTTCTTCCTTTTTTCTTTTTTCTTTTTCTCTTTTCTTTCCTTCTTTCTCTCTTCTCTTTTTCTCCTTTTCCTAATACAATTTGTTTCTGGCCACTCTGCACTGAGCAAAATGACTAGAAGGAAAACCTCACCTCAAAAGAAAGAATCAGAAACAGTCCTCTCTCCCACAGAGTTACAAAATCTGGATTACAATTCAATGTCAGAAAGCCAATTCAGAAGCACTATTCTACAGCTACTGGTGGCTCTAGAAAAAAGCATAAAGGACTCAAGAGACTTCATGACTGCAGAATTTAGAGCTAATCAGGCAGAAATTAAAAATCAATTGAATGAGATGCAATCCAAACTAGAAGTCCTAACGACGAGGGTTAACGAGGTGGAAGAACGAGTGAGTGACATAGAAGACATAGTTGAAGGCAAAGAGGGAAGCTGAGGAAAAAAGAGACAAACAAAAGATCATGAGGATCGATTAAGGGAAATAAACGACAGCCTGAGGAAGAAAAACCTACCTTTAATTGGGGTTCCCAAGGGTGGGAAAGGGACAGAGGGCCAGAACATATATTTGAACAAATCGTAGCTGAAAACTTTCCTAATCTGGGAAGGGAAATTCATTCAGATCCAGGAAATAGAGAGACCACCCCTAAAATCAATAAAAACTGTTTAACACCTCGACATCTAATAGTTAAGCTTGCAAATTCCAAAGATAAAGAGAAGATCCTTAAAGTAGCAAGAGACAAGAAATCCCTGACTTTTATGGGGAGGAGTATTAGGGTAACAGCAGACCTCTCCACAGAGACCTGGCAGGCCAGAAAGGGCTGGCAGGATATATTCAGGGTCCTAAATGAGAAGAATATGCAACCAAGAATACTTTATCCAGCAAGGCTCTCATTCAGAATGGAAGGAGAGATAAAGAGCTTCCAAGACAGGTAGAAACTGAAAGAATATGTGACCTCCAAACCACTTTGGAGGTGAAAGAATATGTGACCTCCAAACCACAAACCAAATTGGTTTGTGACCTCCAAACCAATTTCTTTCTCTGCAAGAAATTTTAAGGGGGACTCTTAATATTCCCCTTTAAGAAGAAGTTCAGTGGAACAATCCACAAAAACAAGGACTGAATAGATATCATGATGACACTAAACTCATATCTGTCAATAGTAACTCTGAACGTGAACGGGCTTAATGACCCCATCAAAAGGCGCAGGGTTTCAGACTGGATAAAAAAGCAGGACCCATCTATTTGCTGTCTACAAGAGACTCATTTTAGACAGAAGGACACCTACAGCCTGAAAATAAAAGGTTGGAGAACCATTTACCATTCAAATGGTCCTCAAAAGAAAGCAGGGGTAGCCATCCTTATATCAGATAAACTAAAATTTACCCCGAAGACTGTAGTGAGAGATGAAGAGGGACACTATGTCATACTTAAAGGATCTATCCAACAAGAGGACTTAACAATCCTCAATATATATGCCCTGAATGTGGGAGCTGCCAAATATATTAATCAATTAATAACAAAGTCAAGACATACTTAGATAATAATACACTTATACTTGGTGACTTCAATCTAGCGCTTTCTACACTCGATAGGTCTTCTAAACACAACATCTCCAAAGAAACAAGAGCTTTAAATGATACACTGGACCAGATGGATTTCACAGATATCTACAGAACTTTACATCCAAACTCAACTGAATACACATTCTTCTCAAGTGCACATGGAACTTTCTCCAGAATAGACCACATACTGGTTCACAAATCAGGTCTTAACTGATACCAAAAGATTGGGATCGTCCCCTGCATATTCTCAGATAAAATGCCATGAAATTAGAACTAAATCACAACAAGAAGTTCGGGAGGACCTCAAACACGTGGAGATTAAGGACCATCCTGCTAAAAGATGAAAGAGTCAACCAGGAAATTAAGGAAGAATTAAA